ATTTAAGAAGATTAGGAATATGATATTGTAATTAAATATCCCAAATAATTAAAGATCCCAAATATGTTTAATATTGTAGATTTGTAAATATAGAAGAATACTAAAAGGTATTATATAGCAAAGTTTGGTTTTAAGTTTAACAAGACCAATGTGCTAAGTAAAGATTTTATTATAAGTTGATTGGTTAATTACAATATTTTGAAGTTGGTATTCAAGAGTAGAAATAATTATTGTATTAATAATATAATAAGCATATAAGCCAGTAATGCACTTAGTTTTAGCAATTTGAATCAGTTAAGAAAACTTAAAGATAAATAGTTTTGTTTGTTAAGATTGTTTGTTGTTTAAAGTAAACCAACAACCTAAAAATTTAAAAAATAGTTTAAGAGAGTAAAAAAGAAAGAGATGATTATTGTAAAAAATAAATGCATAATGAGATAAAGGATTGTTAGTAATCAGAATGAATTTTAAAAAGTAAACTTAGATATTGGCTATAGCATAAAAAAATTCAGCTATAGATAATATATGTGATAATTCAGATTGTAATAAGACAATCCAAAGTATATTATCTATATATATCAAGACAGAGCATTGTTTTTGTAATGAGTTGATTGTTTAAAGTTTAAGGTTAATAGTTCAGAAGAATTATAGTTTGTAATTAGAAGTGTTTAAGTATATATAGGAAATAAGTAGATTATAATAAATATGCTATAACAAAAAAGTAATAGTTTTATCTTGGTTAATACTATTATAAACAGAATAGGATGAAATTAAACTAAGATTAGTTATAACTTGATTGTAATGATCAGTAAAAAGTTCAAAAAGAATGTTAATAGTGAATAAGAGAAGTGAAAGGTAAGAAAATGCATGTTTAAAAAGAGTAAAGTTAACAGAGTTATAAGTTTTACTTATATTTTGTAAAAGTAACTATATGTTCTTATGATTATAAGAAGCATTTTTAATAAGATTATTAAGAATATAGATAGAAATTGAGATGCTATTGTTAGAAAGAGCAATATAATTAAAAGGTAAGAAAATAAGATAAGTTGAAAATACAAAGCTAAGTCAATCAGTAAAAATTTTGATATAAAGTTTGTGAATATGTTCAACAAGACTAATAAATTAGATAAAATTAAAGTTATTATTAAAGATATTTGTTTAAAAATAGGATAAATATGACTATGTTTTTATTGTTTAGAAATTCTATTTTCCAAAAGGCAATAGTTAAAAAGAGTAATAATAACAGAAATGCATTAGAGGCTAATATGTTTAAGCATTTTATAGCTAATGCCAGTAGAACCATAGGCTTTGTTATTAAGTAGAAAGAGTTTTAAGAAGTTCTTTATTAGTAATAGAAAAATTAAGAAAATAATACTAAGTTGAGTTAATGTGAGAGATTGGAAGATAGTGTTGTTGCCAAAAATTATTAAAAAGAGTTTGGCTAATAGATCTATATGCAGTTTAATTAAGAAAATAAGATCAGACATATTGTTTAATGATTTGTGGATTAGTAATAAGTTCATTAGACAATTTTATATTAAAAAAATAAACAGGTTGGTAGTAATGGTTAAGGATATTATTAATAGTCTAAGTAGAATATATTATAAAAGTAACACATTTTTTGTCAATAGCTTAATTGATTTGTTGTTAAAATAGAAAAAAGTTCTTAAGATAATAGATATGAAAGAGTTGAGTAGGCATGTTAAAGCTATAATTGGATTGGTAGAGATAAGTAATTAAAGGTCACATTATGACTGTTTATTAATTTAAAAGATGTTTTGATTAATATTAAAATATTGGAATATTGAATAAATTTTTTAACAAGCTTAATAATATGACCAAGTTTTTTAAAAGATAGATAAAGTAAAGTACTATAGAATGTATATTTGTAATTATAACTGTATTTATAAGAAACTTTGTTAAAGATAGTATAAGTAGCAATATAAATAATAAAACATTAAATTTTATGCCAATTTGTTTTAATGCTCTTATAAGTTTTATTATTAATAAAAGCTTTGTATAATAAAAGTTGTTAAGATAAAATATATGCAAAGGTTTTTTAGTTCTCTGTAAATATAACTTTATAGTTAAAGATATAATAATTAATGCTAGTGTATTTATATAGAAGTTTGTTATAGTTATGTAGAAATGTTTAAGTAAAAAAGAGAAATAGATAATTACTAGAAATAAAAATTTGACTATTATTAAAACTATAAGAGAAAAGAAATTATATATGATGTCAGTGGCTTTAAATCACTATAAAAAATAGCTTTATAAAAAATACTACTCTTCTTTTAAAAATTTATAAAATATAAAACTAATCCACAAGATTTGTTTTTTTAGTTCTAAATAATAAAACTTGTAGTTTAGATTTCAATTTATAGCTAAACTGATAAAACAATAATCTTTTAAAAATTAAAAAAAATTAACAATTTATTAATAAATTGTAAAAATATAAACATATATGTTTTTAATTTAAACTAATCAGAATGCACTATTATATTTATGTGATACATATTTCGAGCCATCACCAAAACTCAGATCATGTGATTTATACAATAACTTATTATACAGCTTTTTTTGTTGTTGAGCTAGCAAGTAATATAACAATTAGATGCTACAGCTGTGATGCAAACCCAGGCTTTTGGTGGTCATCCTATAGATCTTGTAATAGAATGAGAAAAACTCTATAAAATTTACAGATTGTTCTTTTGTGACATTCAGAGTGCTCAAAGTGATTGGCTAGTTATAGAGATCATGCACAAGTACTATGATTAATTGTTAAAGATTTATTCATGTTTCGAAATGCAGATATTAAATTTTAGCCAATCAGCACAATACTATAATAAAAAAAAAAGATGGTCTCAGACTATCTTTTTTTTTATCATAATAATAAACTCACTTAATTGAATAATTTATTTTCCACTAATCAATTTAAGTGATTGAGAGCATTTTTAATATATGTAAATTGGTCATTGTAACACTTTTAAATACAAAGCACTAGCAATATTAATGAATTTAATATTAATTTATGCTTTTATATATTAGATAAGATCGATTTAGTTGCAGTTCAAAAACCAACTTATTATATTTGAATTATTTTGAGATTTAAAAAACTATATATATTCATAATACAAACAAAATGTAAATTAAATTTTTAAATATTTAAATTTGATATCTGTTAAAATTATAATAAAGTATAAGATTTTATTATTAATTAATAATTTATTTAGCTTACAATAAATAATAAATTAAATTAAATATTTACTATTTAGAGTGTGAGTTTTATAGCTTAGCAGTTAAGCTTCTATACCCTTCACAGTTAAGGTCAATGGTTCAAGTCTGGCTAGAGGCAAAAATTAAAAGATTTTAGCTTTTGTAACCTAATAAGAAGCCTGTAATTGAATGCGAAGCCTTGTAGTTAAGTCCAAGTGCAGTACAATAATGGAAATAGAAATTCCTAGAAGGAAATCCAATCATGAAGTGCAGGTACTATGTGTAACAAGCAGTTGTTACAAAAGGTTATAGTTATGAAAAGATTGTATATATAAGTCCTTTAGGCTGAATAGCACTAACATTCTTATACCTTTTAATATAGGCAGTACTAACATCCCTGCACCCAACTTGTAGGATACTTGCTTGAAAGAATAATTAACAAATTGTGCAAATAAGTCTTAATTAGGATTCAAGAAGAGAATTTGATTGGGAAAGTATTCTGAAAATAACCAAGAATGGAATAATAAGAGAAGCAGTGAACACAAGAATGGATTGTAATAAAAGATTGGTTTAACTAAAAATTGGAAGCACTTCTGACACAGCTGAATAATCTAATTATAAAAGGAAAAAATCTTGGAAGTTGGTATATAACTTCCTTGTACAATGTAAAAGTACCAAATTAGGTTTCTGGTCATACCTATATGGAAGTCTATAACAAACAAGACTAGGATTACTAACCAATGTGAGATAAGATCTGCAAGATAGTATGGCATCACTGAAATCAGTATAACTCCCTAGGGCATAACCAGAATTGTCTTGTAGGTATTATTGAATAAGCTAAGAGCTTGCAATATATGGTAGTATAGTATCATTAAAGTTAGAGAAACTCTCTAGATATAATCAGAATTGTCCTGTTTGTAAGCATAACAAGTCTTAGTTCTCATCATAGAAAGAAGCATTATGTTGAAGGTTAAATGCAGGATCGAGTACTATATGATGTTAAGACCTAAGGCATCTGCAAGAATGGTGCAGCAGACCTAGTTTAAGATATGGATTGGTCAAAAAAACTAATGGTGACAGCAGATCTGGCTTGAGATACAAGTTCTTTGCAGATCTTGGACTATTGTCAGAACACTTTAAGGAAATCAATAACAGACATACCAAAGATAAGAAGATCATAAAGATCAAACATATCCAAGTAGGGCCAATTTGAGAGTGATACAGTGACAAAAAAGTGAGAAATATGGAGAACAAGGTAATACTAGATATAGTTAGATTAAGAGACAGAAGAAACAAGACTAGGTAAAACATATGAGTAGGACATATGGATACGATTTACAGAAGACAGTACCTCTGGCATTTGGAATATCATATTAAGTTCAATAGGTATCCTTGTCTGTGTAGCAGTTTAATGATATGCCTTGACCACAAGTAGTTGTTAAGATAACTGCATGCAGGCATGTGGTGAACATGCACTTAGGTACCATATAGATAACCAGATAAAGTCAGTAGTGTAAAATTAGATAGTATATAGTACTAGTAATAATCAATCCTAAAAATGTAACTGTAAATTTGCACCATATCAAATTAAAGCTAATAAACCAACTGGCATTGTCACCAAAGTTCAAAAAAAAATATATATATATATATATTTACTATTCAATGTATTCTATAATCCTATCTAATTGTCAAACTGATTTCCTAAAAAAAACATGATTAATTAAATTACAATATGCATGCAAAAAATTTATTGATTTTTAAATTCATACCTTTTCAGCATCATAATGCCTCACCCAAATGCCAAATCTCATGTTGCATCTAGCAAGACCTGTAATAAAGCTGATGTCTTTGTAGCTAATCCTAAAGATATAAATGATGTAGAAGAAAACATGAATATTCTGGAAGACTGGGAGTTATTTGAAATAACACATAATAGCTTTCAAAATTATGCATTAAAAACTATAAAATGGCATAAAAAAGCCGATAAAAAATTAAACCCTACTTTTTATACTAGTACAATTGAAAGCTATTTTGTTATTTCAGCATTGATTTTTGATGTGAAACTGCTGAGATACCTTAGCAGTTTCATATCAAAAATCAATGTTGAAGTATCAAAATAGTTTTTACAAAATATATATCTTAATCTTAAATCTTTATACTAATAATAAAATTTTAGGAAACTCAAGAACAAACTTTTGAAAAAAAAGAAAGGCATAGAAACAACTTCAACATAAAGCTAAACAGATGTGAACTCTTGATGAAATGTGAAGCATAAAGGCATGAGATAAAGGAAAACATCAGCCCTATCATACTGTAAAGATATTTTAGCCCAATCTAAGCAACAAATGCAACAAATAGAGGAGTGTTATAACAAATTAAAAAATTAACTTTGAAGTTTTCAAAATGCTAAAAAAAAATTTAGCTAAATCACAACCTTATAAAGTACAAAGGTTAATATCTATTTTTTATTATTATAGGTTATTACTAGATGGTAAAAAAAAATAAGTGCATCAGAAAAAATTGTGAATACTTTATAGAAAAATATTCAGAATACAGAATATATATCTTGTTGCATTAGAGAATAGGCAAAAGACTTTCTTGAACAAGGCATCTTACCTAAACATCAACAGAAAAAACATGCAAAAAGAGAATCATTGCTTAATAATGAGGATCTCAAACTGGCAGCTTGTACCTGGTTATATTCTTTTTATCAAAAGATCATTCTCCTTTAGCACTAAAGAAAGAATTAGAAACAAATATCTTTTCTAAATTGCTTGAAGTACTGATCACTATTTTAGAAACTACTACATGAAAATTCATGCACTTATGGGATTTTTACAAAAAAACCATAGAGCAACAGATATGTAAGGCCATGTGAAATTAATTAATATTTTTTCATAACCTGGCTGGGCCAAAATTTAGAAACTTCTAAAACAAATTTTTATATATATAAAAAAAAAATCTGGCCAACTGGGTCTATTTAAAAGTTTCATGTTATAAAAGCCAAATAATTAAATTTGTATAGCCTAATATTATAATTATTATTATTGGTTTTTTTTTTTTTTTTTTAAATTGCTTGATACTTTTTAGGTCTATTTCGATGGACATGAACAGAAAGATGTATAAAAATATTGTAAAAGATGAGTGATGAGAATGATGAATTATCAAAAAAAAATGGAACAATATGATGATGATAAGATAGAAAATATCATATCTCCAGAACAGCTTGAAATTTGAAATATGTGTCATGTTTTGGTTACTTATAATGAAGTTTACTTTTATGCTAATGATAACAAGTCATCCTTTTGGGTAAAAGATAAAAAGTCCATTATTAAGAAAAAAGGTCAAGAGTTAGCAATTATGGTTAGTGACTTCTTGTATGCATGCTATGGCCCTTTGCACCTTACAGAAACTGATGCTATACAACTTGGGTTGGACTAAGAGACTCAAGTTATTATAAAGCTAGGATAACAAGCTGATGGTTATTGGAAAAGTAAAAATATGGTTAAACAGCTTCATAAAAAAGCAATTCTGATTTTTAATGCTCTTAACCCAGAATGCATAGGCATAGTTTCAAATTCATCTATTGTTTTTTAAATTTTTTTTTATTTATTTATTTTTTTTTTTGTTTTTTTAAAGATGTATTCTGCTTTAATTAGAGTACTAACCATAATGCATATGCACTTGATGTACTCATGTGTTCTAGAATGACTATTCATCCAAAAGTTAAAGATAAATTTAAGTTTAAGAATGGATAGTTCATTTGTAATTATAAAAAAATCATATAACCTATATTTATTTTAGATGAAGATAATAGTATCGTAAAGTTTAAAGAAATCAAAAAGATATATAAAGACTACTATCTTTTTTTTATTTATTTTTTATTACTTTTTCTTACTATATATCATAGATTCTGAAAAAATAAAAGATGAAGACTGGTCAAAAATTGAATTGTAAAAGAAAAAAGAATAATGAAAAAGGTAAAAGAAGAAATTTTGCATCATAATGTTAATAATCAATATAATTTTCTTTTTTTTTAGTTCTGAATTGTTGTGCAAGACATACACTTACAATGGAACCAGATTTTTTGGAACAAAAAACTTCAATTGCAGAGACTGTTGAAGCTGCTAAGCATATTTTTGAATTATATTCAAAATTTCATTGTGAATGCAACTTCATCGAGTGTTTTTAGAGTGCTGCTAAATGAATCGCTCATCAGCAATATGATTATTCTTATGCTTAGTTACAATTTTGTATATTAGAAATACTTAACAATATACTATTACCTATAGTTAGATGATTTAGCCAAAAGGCTTAGAAGTACATTAAAGCATATGTAATAGGCTTAGAAGAAGAAGATGCAGAGAGAGCTGTAAAACAGTTTAAATCACATAAGCAACTTTGAGTAAACAAGTAAGTAGGAACAATCACCAAATCATACAAAAAAAGATCAATAAAGACCTACATAACATTTTAAATCAATAAATTTGACTGTTCAACAGCATTTGAAAGTTTTTAAACTCATCTTACAATATGTTACTGATTAAAATGTCTTTCTTTTTTTTTAAAAAAAAAAACTGATTTAAAAAAAATATTTGTTTGCTGAAAAAAAAAACTGTTTTTTTGTTTGCCACAGAGTGTATATGTAAAAGAAAAATTGTTACTACAGAGTATATGCATTAAAAATTAGAAAATAAAAAACCATTCATGTCTATTTGTTATATAAATAAATATAAAAAAAAAATTCATTCTCTAAAAAAAAAAAAAAAAATGAAACATGCTCAAATTTAATTGGATATAAGTATATCACATGATTTTTTGCTAAAAGTAAATTTCTATAGCTTATCTACAAGATTTTTTCCAGCACATGATTTTAGCCAATTATATTGAAGGATTAGATATAATGTAAAAATCATGTCTTTTTAAATTTTACCTATAAAACTGCCTTCTGCATTCTAATAAAAAAAATTTCTTGTAAAATTTTAATATAAACTATGCTCTTGCTTATCTATTATTCTAACTCTAAAGATGATACTTATTATTTTAAAATCTTTTCACTTAATTCAATTGTTTTAAATTTACATTACACCTGATCCTTTAATTTAATTGACTAAAAATCATATACTAGAAAAAATCTTGTGAATGAGCTACTATTAATCCAAAAGTGAACAAAATTATGTAATTGGAGATTTAAAGCTACTGGCATTATATTAAATTGGTCAATTCAGATGTAGTTAATACAACTATTACTAATATTATTAAACTAAATAGAGTATTTGTTGTTAAAGTAAGCTTCAATATCATATATATGAGAATTATTAAAAAAATTAATAAGTTTGTATTTAGAAGAAGAGCTGTAAATAATGTCCTAAATGTTAAAATTACCAAAAATAATAGAATAAATATGAAGTTAAAAAGCTTGTTGAATTTAGTTAATTACTGTATTTTGAGTTTGATTACAGATAGAAGTATCAGTTGATAATAGATATATTAAGATAATACAAAGCCTGATATTGCTTTGAAGAAAAATATTAAGTGCTATAGCACTATCAAGATGAGTATGTACACTATGGATGTGAGATTTAAAATAATTGTAGATCATAATGACAGTACCTTTTATAGAGATAAAAGAGTTAGACTAGTAATAGATAAAAAAGTTGTTATTGCAAAAAAAAAATAGTTTTGTTTGAGATTTTGGTTTCTGTAATGCTTGCAATAAATATGTTATAGTTAAGACAATAATCTTGTTATGCTTGTTTTTTGATAAGTTCATTAAAGCCTTTAATATTATGTATAGCAATAGTTAGATAAAGATAATATAAAGTTAAATCAGATAAAAATAAAGATGAACTGTAATTAAAAGAAATTGAAGGATTGTTATTAAGAAACAGATTAGATAAAATAGAAGTAAAGATAAAAAAGTTGAATCTGAGAGAAAGATTATAAAATATAGAAAAAAGATATAAGAAAATTACAATATAGTTAGACAAAAAGGTGTTATTAGAAAGGTATATGTGAGTTTTATTATAGAATGAATTTACAAAAAATATAATACTAGATACAGTTTTGTTGTTATTATATTTGTTAATATATTGAATTAAGGTTTGGATAGTTTAGTTATAAAGAAATAATAATAAATTATAATAAAAAAGAAATTTGTTAAAAATAGAGAGTATATAAATTATTTTTATATAGTTATATATGATATATTAAAATTTTTATCTAAAATTGATATATGTTACTAATAAAACTTTTTTATTTTTTAATTAATTAATAAAAAAATTTTATAATATTATAAATAAAATTATTTATCTATTATAATAAAATTTTAATATATTATTTTAAAAAAATATACTTGTATATATAATAAAGATTACTTAGATGAGTTAAAATTTTTTTAAATAGTACAAAAATAAAGAATTTGATTAGTTAATTTATATAAACCTATTAGTTAAATTTATTTTATAATTTTATATTCTAATCTTTAAAAATTTATATCTCAATAAGTTTTTAATCTATTTTAATAATTTTATTATTATTAAAATCAAAAAGACCTACTTTATATTTTTTACTTAATAATTAAAATTAGTTTACTTAATATAATTTTTCATAAAATTAAATATAAAAAAAATTTACTATTAGATTTATATATAAATTTTAAATACTGCTCCTTATTCTTAAAGTATATATGAAAGTCATAAAAAATTAAAGATATTAAAAATAATTTTTTAAAATTGTCTTCTACAAAATTAATCACTATATACTTAGCTCTAACAGTTGTACAAAATACTAAAATATGCAATATTTAAAATATATTAAATTAATTACAAATATAAAAAATAAAATTATATTTTTTTAGAGTTTTTTGAAGTTTTATTTTTTTTCAGAACTAAATGTATTATCCTTTGAGTTTGATGTTGAAATTTTTTTTTATTTTTTAACTTTTTCTAATATATAAAAAATCTTTTGGTAAATGTGGGTTCCATAGCTTAGTGGTTAAGCTCCCATGCCTTCACAGTCAAAGTCAATGGTTCAAGTCTGGCTGGAGGCAAAAACTAAAAGATTTTAGCCTCTGTAACCCAATAAGGAGCCAGTAATTAAATGCGAAGCCCTGTAGTTAAGTCCAAGTGCAGTACATAACCAAAGTAGAAATTCCTGAAAGAATGGAATGTAGGCACTATGTGTAACAAGTGGCTGTTACAAAAGGTTACGGTTATGAAAAGATTGCATATATAAGTCCTTTAGGCTAGGGCAGCACCAACATCCCTATACCTTCTAATTAGGCAATACCAACATCTCCGCACCCAACT